CTTCGCACCGCGCCAATTCTTCTTCTTGTTCCACGGTAAGTTTCTTCAACGAGTCGCGCCGATGTGAGTAGATGGCGAGAAACTGCTTGTAGGTGTAGGGTCGAGGCACGCCATGTGCGTCGAAGGTGCCGACGCCAGTTCCGCGCAGCATCCCTTGAAGGTGTTGTGAGGGGGGACCGGTGAGAGGGTGCTCTGGTGTGCCGAACACACCATGCGTGGTTACCTCAAGCTCCAGTTGAGACATTCCTTCTTCTGGCGCCGCGTGGCGCTCGGCTTCGGCGATGGCGGCGAGTCCGCGGCCAGCAATTGCGCTAGTTGACGCTGTTGGTGTGTGGCAGTCCCTGCAGATGCCGTCTGCGTCAGGGTCATGCAGCGCCACTTCGCGTCGGTGGGGATGATGCGGCACCCACGGTCTTCCATCAAGGTGCTTCCAATCCCTGGGGTGAATGTGCTCGAAGCGCAGTGGCACGAGATCGATTAACTCGTGTGAATCGCCGCTGCAGTCCGGAATGTTGAAATCCAAGACGTACACTCCATTTTCGGAGTGCGCTCTGCCGATCTGCCTGCGGGGGAAGTTCTGTGATTCATAGTGGAGAAGAATGTCGCGCGTCGCGCGATCCGTGCTGAGGTCGACGCCGCAGTCCATGAGCTGTGTGGCGGAAAGCAGGTTGAAGCGCAGGTTCTGGACGATCAGCACATCGTTGAGCGTGATGTGCGTGCGGCTTCCGCGTGCCTTGAGCATGACGATGCCTTGCGCGTTTGCGCGCAGGCGAGTGTTGTTAGCCACGGTGATGTAAGTGACTGTGGGGGTGGCGACGGCGTTGGATATGTAACGCTCGGAGACCACCATATGCTGGCCGCAGCAGCTGTCCAGGTACCAAGTGTTGTAGCGCTTGTTGTCGTCACGTGCGAGCAGCGCCAGTCGCAGCGTGACGATGTGCGGGGTGTCGAACTTCAGAAATTGCTTGCGCGAGAGCCAATCAAGTGGCGCCACCCGCATGTCAGGTACGTGCGGGGGACTTTCAAGCAGCGGGACTGGGAGGTTCCAGTCTTGGTCGTCGTCGTCGGTGAAGTCGCGGCGCGGACTGAATGGGTTTTTGTTGGTGAACGTGCCAATGGGGTGCGGTGCTGGCTCAGGTGAGGGTGAGCGCACGCGACGACGACGCGACTCGCCTGTCATGGCCGTGTTGCTCATGACATTGCGTACAGGGGCAGTTGATGACGGCTGCTGCTGCTGATGCTGAACAGCTGGGTTCAGATTGCGCGCGGGTGGGGGTTGATACCCCTGGGCTGGACGCACGTCGCCTCGTGCGTCTTGTCGGCCGGACCAGTTGCTCCGATTGGTCTGGGGAGGGCGAGATCGGAATTTACATCGATCCGCCAGGTGCCCAAAATTTCTGCAAATCTTGCAGTAGAGGCGCCGCGGCCTTCGCTCTTCGGTGTTGTCGGCGTAGAAGGTGAGCCGTTCTCGTTCTCGTCGTGGCGCTGGTCGCTGCTGATCCATATTCCGTTGTTCGACGAGAAGGGCGGCGCAAAGGGCGGCCTCCGAGATGACCCCCTGCTGTCGGAGAAGCGCCTTGCAGGGCCGCCACTCTGGGCCGAGCCCTTGGAGCACGATGTTCACGAAGATTTCCTCCGAAATCGAGCTCCCCAACTTCGCGATTTGATCGCGGAGGCTCCGACAGCGATTGATGCAGCTGTTGACCTTTTCCCCTGTGGTCATTTTGGTCTCCAGTAACTGCTGGAGTAGCCGGCTCGAAGAGACTAAATCCTTCGGCTGATACGCGCCGTTCAGGTGGCGCCAAGCGTCGAGGGCTGGAGCAGCCGATGTCTTGTACGAACTTATGTTCAACTGCTCCGCTGGCGACATGTTGCGCAGGAGGATTCCGTACGCCATCAGAGACTCGTTGTAGTAGCAAGCCCTGGCGTCGTCGGTGTCCTCAGGGGGCTCTGCGTAACTCCCGTCGAAATAATGAAAGATTTGGGCGTTCTGCAGCAGGAGCTCCTTCGAAGCTCCAGGTATAGAAATCTCTGCCGTCAAAGCAGGTACTTGTCTTTATTTTTTATGTGCTGAGAAACCTTGATTGTGCAGAGAGAATTGCCTCTTCACTGGGACGGGGAGCCTTGGGGGTTGAGCCATTTGTGTCGATGGAGAAAGTGTGCGGGGCGGCGTTCTGCCCAGTTGGGGTCGGTTGAGAAGGTTGCGAGGATGTTCCCGCATCGCCGTTCCGCAATGTTTGGAGCCCTTGCTCCAAGCTGGTGAGTCGCTGAAGAAGTTGTGCGAGGACTTCAGTCCCGATCGTCGTCGTTTCCTCGCTTGTCGCAACCGGGTTGGGTTGCGCTTCAGCCGTTAGATTAGTCTGACCACCAGATCCTCCGGCCATTCTCACACGCGATCGTGTGCCGGACGCCACTTTCCGAATGTTGTAAATTTCGGAGATGGCAGTGCGAAGGATTCTTGAGTCGCTCTCATACCATGCTGCGATCAGCTGTTGATCGCTGCCAGGATCTATTCGGGAAGGTTCGCAGGTAGAGAAGTAGAGTTGGTGGGCCCTTGACCTCAATAGCTGAGTGAATGTAAAATGCTTGAGATGATTAAAACATGCAAATACAGCAAATATAAATATGAGTACAGGGAAGACGAATCGACCTAGCTAGCCATGTACTCCAAGGGGTACATTCCTTTATTCAGATTCATTCCCAACCATGCGGTTCGTACAGTTACGAACTGTTCCCGCTGAAACCCTCCTGCCTGCAGCTGCCCGATGCCGTCTGCTCCGACGGTCCAGATGCACCCTAACCGTCTGACGCTTCGAGTCAATTCTGACTCTTCGCATTCGTTCTCGATACTGCGTGCTTCTTTAGCTGGGGTCGGAAGTGCACAGTAATGTTCTCGTATTACTATTCGTAACAGTTGCTCTATCCGATCGGCGACACAATTTCCATATATCAATAGAAATGTATTGTTTCCATCGCAATTCAGGAACAGGGCCCAAAATTGGTTTAGGCCAACCCTTACAAATCAGGGTTCCAGCCCCTCCTTACCCCGACCCCTAGGGTAAGTTTTTTCGTACCCTGTTTGCAGCAGGGTGAATCAGCCACTAGCCTGATTTGAGCAGGGTAGTTTTAGGCCAACCCTGTTTCAGTTACTATTTTGTGAGCTAAGTTATTTACAATGACACACATTCACAACACACCTACTCAGTGCCACCCCCACTGCCTACTACTTCTTCTACAAACTGGGTGTCGCCTCGTTGGGTTAAACAACCAATGAGGCGACATGGCGTGTCGCCGACAACGACTCTTGGTTTTATGCCAGTGGTAAGAAGCGACAACGCTTGTTTGTGTGGGTGTGGTACAGTTCGTCACCAAGCGGAGTATGGCCTGATACGCGGTAAAAAAGTTTCGGTATCAGGGTAGTCTACACCCTACCCTGATACTGTCAGGCTAATCATAAATCCTATCAGGATAAAAAAAAAAAACATGCTCTTTTTGCAAAAGGGTAACTTTCGTGGAATCCTGATTTTGGCAGGGTAATCCTGAAAAAGCGGCCTGCCCCCAGGGTAATCAGGGCGTTTTACCCTGATATTTTGGGCCCTGTTCAGGAAGAGTTGACCAGTGGATACAGTTTTTGTGAGGTTTAAGAAGATGCAACTTTGGTGAGCCTACCATGCGCAATGGACAGCCTTATAAGAATAGTTGGAGCAGGGCTCAGGTTTGGATTTGGCTTACTCACGATTGGCAGTGTAGCTTTTTCAAAAACCCTTATGGGCAGTGTGTACTTTTTGGTTACACTGATAGAGCAGTGTAACATCAGGTTTTGAATTTTTTACCCTGCATCATCAGTGTGGTTTTTTATCAAACACTAACAGATGTTCGCAAAGTCCTAAACTATTACAGGTAACACGTAGGTTCGGTTTCGTGGCGTGCTGGCAAGGCAATCATTCCTGAGGGCGTGTCTTGTGGCGAAATGTGTCAAAGTTCGAACATCAGCCGCTTTGCACCGTTCGCTGCAACACTTGTATTTTTCACCAAGTTAGCAAGCTTCACGGGGGGAACGTGTGTTTGGGGACCTTGAGTTGAGTCCCAAATTTCCGAGTCGAGAAAGTTGACGTTCTTGCAATGGAGTGCAGCTTCGACCAATCAGGTTGCATCGCCTCTACAGTAAAAGTAGGTTGCAAGCAGACACGGAGTGACACGGTGTCGGTTGTCAGTACTCACGTGTGCTGGCGTCGTAGTGCATCATTACTAAATTTCTTCTCGTAGTGCGTCGTTGTGCTTGTTAGGAAAATGCTAGGAAACTTCTTCTCGATAAGTAGAGTTTCCGAGGGGGGGGGGGGGGGGGGGGGGGGGGGGGTGGGGGTCCCTGTACGCTCTTCAGGGGTCTTCGCTAAGGGAAAAATTACCCCAGAGCATCAGTGTGGCCTAAATCATTACACTTACAGATCAGTGTAACACTAACTCACCAAAAAATTACCCCAGCACACCAGTGTAGACCCAAAATTTCACCCTTGTAATCAGTATAGAAGGGTAAATTACACTGCAAACCTGAGCCCTGAGTTGGAGGACCAGGACTGGAATAATTACTGTACGGAGTGGCAAAAGAGAGCTGAAGACGATGTGAGAGAAAATCAAAGGGTGCAGATACCAGGGAAACTCAAAGAGTGGGAAAGGATTCAGGATCCCATGACAGCAAGATCAGTCACAGTAGTGCAGGCCTGAAAACTCCACCACAGTTTCTTCAGAAACCACCAAGTACTGGGTCCAAATTAGACTAAATGAAAAAAAGGTACACTTGAGTGTTAAATAAAGGTCCTGGATATTTTGATATATATCGTAAACATTGGCTGTCCATGCCCAGTGCTCCCATTTCACCCCTTGGATCCTCCAACCGACACCCCAGCTCTGGGCACGCGCAACACTTTCAACCAGTTCTGCCTCGCCTTGGAATTCACCTGCCTACTGAGTCAACTCAAAGGCCATTCAACTCAAATTCCACCTCATCCCTTAGACCCTCCACCCAACACCCCAGCTCTGGGAACACGCAGCACTTTCAACCAGTTCTGCCTGGCCTTGGAATTCACCTCCCCATCATCCACAGCAGAAGCAGACCGGGGTACTTGCTTCGGCAGACCCGACCCTGCGTCCGAGGCTACCCCGAAATCCGTACCACGGTCGTGAGGGGGTGGCTCTTGAGTCGAGACGGCGGTGTTCTCCCGAGCCTCCGTGCCAGGCTTGGAGGGGCTAGAGAGGAGCGGAGAGAGCAGGTGCTTGAAGCGGGAGCGAGACAGGGTCCTGGTCAGGGAGGAGATGAGCGGGCCAGAGCTAAACTTGCTGGGGGCCTTTTGAGTCGACTCAACAGACACATCGCGGGACAAGGTCCGGGACAGGGAGGAGAAGAGCGGACCAGAACTGAATCTGCGGGGGTGCTTTTGAGTCGACTCAGCAGTCATATCGCGAGACAGGGTCCGGGACAGGGAGGAGAGCGGGCCAGAGCTGAAATTGCGAGGGCTGTGAGAGGCAGTAGACGGAAGGGTGGATGAGTGCGGGAGGGTGGGGGGGAGGGAGGTGTTGGCAGGGAGGGAGGCGGTTGGGGAGAGGATGGATGAGTGCGGGAGGGTGAGGGGGAGGGAGGCGTCACGGGGGAGGGAGGCGCCATGGGGGAGGGAGGTGGTGGGGGAGAGGGCGGATGCTGCGGGGCCGAAGGATGGACGGGGGGAGACAGATAAGAAGGGCAGGCCAGAAGGAGAGATGAGGTCTGACTCAGATTCCTCGTATTGGGAGTCTGTAGTCTCCTCTTTAGATGCAGCTTTCCATCTGAAGCCAGCCTGTTCCCCTTCTGCATGCCCCCTCTCCGCGTGCCCCCCTGCTGCATGCTTCTCCTCGATTACCACTATCATTTTGATCTCCTCCTGTTCTTGTTCCGAATCTGTGGCTCTCGGATTAGCTAGGTCCTGGGGGACCAAGCTTGCTGCATCAGGAGAAGCGGCATCCGCAGCATTAGCACCAGCTGCCGCCGCAGCAGCAGCACCACAGTCAGCAGAATTAACAGTATTAGCAGCAGCAGCAGCAGCAGCAGCAGTCATAGGCGTCATGTCAACCCACTTAGATTTCACCATGTCAGCAGTGATACTAGCATCAGCCCTTGCCACAACGCCACCGGCACCAGCATCACCAAAATCATTCCGAGCCTCTGCAGCAGGTCCGGCACAAGCCTCTTGAATCCGTTCGGCGAACGATCCGGCAGAGTCAGTGCTATCAGAGGGGACGAGTACCCTCCTCACTTGCACCATTCGGTTAAACTGGACGCGCCTATCCGCCCTCTGCTGCTTCACCCCGTTGCCTGCTGCACCTGGTGATGACTGCTGGCTGGTTGGGGATTCTGTGGTGGCTTGGTGATCGTCGGATGGCTCTGGATCCAACGGCTGTGATGATGGTAGACGCAGGGATGGCGACCGGTTGCGATTCCAAGCTGCTGCTTCTGCTGATTCTTCTGCTTCAATTGCTGCTTCTGTCTCTGCTGCTGCTGATTCACATGGCAAGGGATAGGAGCGGAGAGGCACCGGAGCAGGGGTCAGCATATATTCTCAATGCGCCATGGATAAAGCATATAATCCACAGTAGGATAGAGACGTGAGAGAAGGGAGGGATAGATTTCGTGTATGAGGCGTCTCGTTCTGAGGTGCCTCAAAAACTCACTCGGTCATAACAGTGCTGTGGCTGCTTCGTCTACCACTTGTTCTGCTGGTGCTGCCACTTGTGCTTGTGCTGCTGGTATTGCTACCTGTCTAAGTGCTACTGGTGCTTCTTTTCTACATACCTGAAAAGGCAAAGTCGCTTGTATGATTGGCCGCTGCAACAGTAGCAGTAGAAGCAGAAGCAGCTGCAACCGCAGCCGCAGCAGCAGCAGCTTCAGCAGCAACAGCAGCAGCCGCATCTGCAGCAGCACCATTCATGTCCAACAACCCAATGCCGTTGCTTAAACTGCACGTACGTCTAGACGTCTCCTCGCTTCCCTCCTTCCTCCCCTCCTCACTTCCCTCCTCTCTCCCATTCTCTGTCCTCTCCTTTCGTCCCTCCACTCTTCCATCCTCTGTCCTCCCCCTTCGTCCCTTCTCTCTCCCCTCCTCTCTCCCTTCCTCTCCTCCTTCCTCCCGTCCCTCCCCGCCTGTTCTTTCCCTGACTCCAAGATCCACTGCCCCAGCTGCAACAGCAGCAGAAACAGAAGTAGCACCACCAGCACCAGCACCAGCAGCCTTACCTTCTACAGTGCCCATACCGCCACTCAAACTCGCTACCCGCGCCATTTCACGAACCCCTTTCGCCCATCCAGATTGCAACTCCCGCCTTCCCTCACCCTCCCTTTCCCCTCTCTTCCCACCCCCCACTCCCCCTCCTTCCCCTTCATTACCTGTTACAGCAACAGCAGCAGCCGCTTCTTCTAAAGCTCTCATAGTGCTACCCTCACCATGGCTGATGGCCATTTCTCGGAACGATCCCACCAACGCGACCGGCGCTTCCCCTTCATTACCCCTTTCAGACAGCGCAACAGCAGCCGCCTCTGCTTCTAACGCCCTCATGCCCTCACTCCTGGCACCACGGCTGTTGCTACTAGTAGTAGAATCTACTGCCAGGCGCGGATTCGCCATTTCGCGGAACGATCCCACGAGCGCGACCGGCGCTTCCCCTTCCATCATCCCAACATCCCATGATCCTTCCGCCTCCACCGCTTCAGATTCTTCCGCCTCCCGCGAAACGTCCGCGCCAGCAGCGCTAGTACTAGCACTTTTACGAAAGAGGTGGGGTGTGGGGATTGCTTGGGAGCTGCTACTATCACTCAGCCTCAGAGAATTGGCAGTATCCTTGTTGTTGCTGCCAATAACGAAGGAGCTGCGGCCCGCTGTATTAGTACTACTATTAATAGCAACAGTACTACAATTAGTACTAGCACCGCCGTAGCTCCGTCTCCTGGCGTGCTTTGAGTTGGTAGTATCAGCTTCGAATTGACTCAACTGGGACTGCAACTTCTCCTCCTCCTCCTCAGTAGTCTGCTGCTGCCGTGCTTTCTGCGTGGCGCTCCTCCTCCTGCTGACGGGTTGTGGGTTAATAGTACTATTAATGGTGGTGGTATCAGCTTCTATCTCGAATTGACTCAGCTGAAATTGCCACTCCATCTCCTGCTGCCGTGCTTGCTGCCCTCCGCCTCCCCAGCTGCGGCACCTCCTGTGTGACGCTCGCTGCGGAATCTGCTCCTCCTGCTGCTGCCGCTGCTGCTGCTGCTGCTGCTGCTGCTGCCGGGAGTGCGGGTTATGCCCGACTGTCGTCGCTCGGCGGACAACTATCACGGACTCGTCGCCGCTGGAACTCTTCTTTGGCAATACGCGGCCACCGCCATCCCACTGTTCCCCCCCGCGAGGCGAGCGCGGAAGATTGGGCGGAACGGCGGACCCCCTGTCGCTCGCATTGCTCTTTCCGCCGCGACCGCCGCCGCCGCCGCCGGCTAATGATGGCATGATTCGTCCAGACGACCACGCGCTGCCACGGCTTTCCGCTGACCCCGACCGCGGCGCCGCGGCGCCGCCATCGTCCGACAGCCGTCGCGACGGCGCTCCGAGAGGATCTGCGCCGCGGCGGTTTGAGAAGATGCGCGTGAGCGTCGCGAGGCGGCCGGGAGACTGCGGCGCGATCGGCGGCGGCGCGGCCTTCGCAAGCGACGAGTCCGAGTCGGAGTCATGTGACGTTGCGGCCGGCAGTGCCGGCAGTGCCGCAACCAGATCGTCAAGTTGCCATGACTGATAGTAGCCAGTATCGCCCGAGTCGGCGGGGGCATCATCACCAGGTTTATCAACGCTGTTAGAACTACCGACCTTGGCGGCTCCCATCGCGCTTCGGAACGAGCGGAAGTCGGAGAAGGAGATGTTTCTTGAGTGTCCGCCACGGCCACCCTTCCGCCGCCGGCCGCTGGGAGTGACGGGCGACTCGGGCGGCGGAGCGCATTCTTCGAAACTTACCTCCGCCCAGAGTTCCTCCATGTCGATAGACGCGGTCGCTTTATGGCGCACCACCGTCGCGTGCGGGCTGCGCACGGGGGTGAGCGCGGCAGGCCGCCACGCGGCCTCCTCGGCGCCGTCGCTTTCGCCCCCAACGGCGGAACATGATTTCGAGGAGGGAAACGCTGCGCGCGCGCGGCAGGCGTCATTCCGCCTAGCCGCCGCGGGATTTTTGGGGCTGCTTGCTGCGTGATCCAAGGTCCGCGCTCGCCGGGTTTCGCCATGGTAATTCGGAGATGAGCAGCTGGCGCGGCGCGGATGGGGGAGGGTGAGTGGACGGCTCAATGGCGGAGGAGAATCGTCGCCGGATGGAGGTGCGAATATCGAGTGCGATGGCAAGCGCCTCGGACTTCTACGTTCTGGCGGGGAGCCCATCGGGAGATTTGTTGGACGAGATAGCTGGGGATGAAGAAGCGGCGTTGGGCTTGGTAGTATGGCTGAAATGTAGGATTTCATTAGTCGGTCCTACTGGTGATTGGTGCTCACTGCTCAGAGTCTACTGCCAGTGCGTGAAGCGCACTGCCAGTGAGTGTGTTGTTATTAGGAGGGACTGTGGTGTTGCTGTGTTGGCTTGTTGCCATGTTGATGAACTTGGAAGAGGAAGCATGGTAGGGTAGTTTTCATATCGAAAGTTCATATCAAGTGCCCTGAGAAACAAAACTACACGAATATATTTCTCACGTGGGTCAGGGTATATTGACTTGATTCACGATGTAAATTAGGGGCAGCAGGAAATGCAACGGGGGGAGCAGCAGGAAATGCATCCAGGAGAGCAGCAGGAAATGCAGCCAGGGGAGCAGCAGGAAATGCAGCCAGGGGAGCAGCAGGAAATGCAGCCAGGGGAGCAGCAGGAAATGCAGCCAGGGGAGCAGCAGGAAATGCAGCCAGGGGAGCAGCAGGAAATGCAGCCAGGGGAGCAGCAAGAACTGAGGCTGGAGGAGCAGCACCCGGGAGAGCAGCAGGGGCAGCAGCTGGGCACCTGGGTGGGTGATACATGGGAAGTCATGGGTGTAGCGAGCCCACTTCGAGTGGAGCAGCAAGAAATGGAGACAGAGTTGGTGCCTGTGTCACAGCTCTCGGGCCACAGTGGGGAGCACCAACAAGATCTTTTTGTTCCTCCTGGGGAGCTGCAGATAGGGGAAACGGATCAGAGAGGGCAGCAGCTGCGTGAGCTGGGCGCTCAGGCGCAGGGGCCCTTGGACGACCAACTGCCACGAGGCAAGGGCAGGAGGCGACGCGGAGGCCAGGGCAAGCAGCAGTCGGGCAATCAGCAGGATCAGCAGGCAGAGGGCGAGTTGGGGCGGCCGCTTACGAGCCAACGTCCGGGAGGCCAGCTGGTGCGACGGCGGCCACTGTCAGGGGAACAGGGAGTGACTGCAGCACCTGAGGGCGTGCAGCAGGCAGGGGGACAGCAGGGAGTGACTGCAGCACCCCAGGGCGTGCAGCAGGCAGGGGGACGACAGGGAGTGACTGCAGCACCTGAGGGCGTGCAGCAGGCAGGGGGACAGCAGGGAGTGATTGCAGCACCTCAAGGCGTGCAGCAGGCAGCGGGACAGCAGGGAGTGACTGCAGCACCCCAGGGCATGCAGCAAACAGCGGGACAGCAGGGAGTGACTGCAGCACCTGAGGGCGTGCAGCAGGCAGGGGGACAGCAGGGACTGATTGCAGCACCTCAAGGCGTGCAGCAGGCAGCGGGACAGCAGGGAGTGACTGCAGCACCCCAGGGCGTGCAGCAGGCAGCGGGACAGCAGGGGGTGACTGCAGCACCTCAGGGCGTGCAGCACGCAGGGGGGCAGCTGGGGGCGAGGGCAGCACTTCAGGGCGTGCGGCAGCGGCAGCAGCAGCGGCAGCAGCGTCAGCAGCAGCAGCAGCAGCAGCCCCCCCCGATCCCTCCGGAAAGCCCCACACCGGGGGTTGCGGAGAATTCAGCCACTCCTGATACGGCTCCACTTGCTCCAACTTGTGTCCCTTGCGAGTTCTGCTTTCACACATTTCCGCCTGGTGGTGCGGCCTCCCGCCACATAGTTGCATGTAAAGCGGCAGATGCTCAGCGGCGGGCTCAGGCCCTTACTTCCTCCCCGAACCTGAGCGAGGTCTTCGGGGCGGATCCAGTACCTCTGCGGGATATCGGCGAGGAGGTGTGGGGGGCGGTGCCTTCGTGGGACTGGGAGACTTTTTTCAGTATTCATTCTGTGTCGGGAGAGCTTCTTCGTCGGGTCCCGCAGCGGGCGCGACTGGGGGTGCTTGATGCATTGTGCTGCATTCTCAAGAGACTGAAGGCTTCCCCTGGGGATGAGGCGGCGACGCTGATGTTCCTGGCCTTCCCGCGCCTCATTTTGGGAGTCCCCGCGAAGGAGGGTCTTGGACGAAGGGCAGCCATAGTAGGGCGTCTCGGAAAGTTCTGGGCAGGGGAATGGCAACAGCTGTTCGAGGCTGCCTCTGCCGCGTTGACTCCGGCGGCGCGACCTCTTGCCTTCTCCTTACCTGAGCGAGATGCTGATGCCATCCGTTTGGCCCGATGTCGCACGAGGTGCCAAGTGGGGGAATGGAGTCGAGGACTAGCATGCCTTACTGCGGGCGACTTGGCGCAGCCCTCTCAACTAACAGTAGACCGGCTGACAGCAAAGCACCCGGCCAGTGAGGTGCCAGTTCCTGAGTGGGTGGAGCACTTTCGCATAGACGTTTCTCATCTTCCCCACCTAACTGAAGACATCCTCAAGCATGCTATTCATTCCGCAGCGCGAGCCTCAGCACCAGGCCCCTCAGGATGGATGACAGAGCACCTCCGAGACACATTTCTCTCGGAGCCTTCCTATCTCCCGCATCTGTTGGAGGTGTTCAGGCAGTGGATTTCGGGATGCGTTTCTGAGCGGGTGCGGCCCTGGCTTGCAGCCTCGAACTTGGTTGGGTTATCCAAGCCGAACGGGGACGTCCGCCCAGTGGCTATCGGAGAGGTGCTCCCTCGGATTCTGGCGCGTGCGTTATGCGTTCTTCTTCGTCCCGACATGGAGACCTACTTCGCTCCTTGTAACCAACTAGGGGTGGGGACTAAGTCGGGGGTGGAGATTCTGGCGCATGCTTTCCGCTCGGCTGTAGCGGTTCATCCGAAGTGGTGCGCGCTGCAGATCGATGTAGCGAATGCCTTCAACTCGTTCCATCGGCACGTGATGTTCGACGGCCTCCGCGATTCTCCTTTTGCTGGCCTTATCCCTTTCTTACGCGTCTTTTATGGGGTGCCCAGCGGTCTGTACCTTCGCACAGGCCCCTTTGTCGAGATGCTGGCGTCCGAGCGGGGTTCGCGACAGGGGGATCCATTTGGTCCCTTCCTTTTTGCTTTCACGCAGCAGTTGGTTATGGGGCCTACAATGAAGGATTTCCCTGATCTTCTTTTCTTGAGCTACGCTGATGACACCTACGTTCTTGGCCCGCGGGAGCGGGTGTTGGCGGCGTACGATGTCTTGCGGGAGCGACTGGAGTGGGTGGGCTTGGAGGTGCAATCGCACAAGTGTAGGATGTGGGAAAGAGGGGAGGCGGCAGCGTCTGGGGATATTCCGCTGGGAATGCAGCAGTCGTGGACGGGGTTAACAGTGGTGGGGGTACCTATTGGAGAGGAGGATTGGGAGGTGGCGCGCTTGAGGGAGAGACTTTTGCAGCTACGATCACCTCTACCTTGGCTTCCTATTTTGAACCACCCCCAGATTGCCTCCCACTTGTTGGCTGTTGCCGTGTCTGCGCGGCCGCTCTTCTTGACTCGCATTGTTCCCCCTCGTCCTGAGGTTCTTGACGCTTTCAGAGATTGGGATGGGGCTTTGGAAGAGTGCTTTGAGCAACTTTTCCCGCCAGACACTTGGGACTTCAGTCCTGATAGGTCGCGCATGGCTCACCTGCAGCTGCACCTCCCGGCTCGTTAGGGCGGGTTTGGCATTCGTTCAGCAGCAACTCTTAGCCCTCTCTCTTACGTCTGTGGGTGGTGCCAGGCTGCGAGTGCTGTTGTCAAGCTGGGAGTAGCGGGCGAGGAGCAGATATTCAGTGAGTTCTTCCGCACTCCGCCGGCTGGGGATTTACTGGACCCTTGGTTTACCAAGGCCCTTGACCAGCTCCCGCCTGTTGTCAGGCAGGAATTGCCGAGTTTGGGGCTCTGCACTACAAATCCCCCCCTCCAGCTTTTCCCAGCGCAGCAGCGTCGCTTGGCGATTGAAAGTCTTCAGTCTCTGCGGCGCATGGCCCGCGATGATGCTACCTTGGCCCGTTTGACTTCCCTTCAGGGCCCGGGTTCGGCAGCATGGGTGTCCGCAGTTCCAGCGCATGATGACGCAACTTTCACCCCTGTGGAGTGGGGCATTTCGGCGGCAATCCGTTTAGGCCTTCCCGTCCACCAGCTTCTGGTTGCTGGCAAGTGTGTTTGCGGTGTGGAGTTCAAGGACCCGTCAGATCCGCACCATGCTCTTCAGTGCAAGTACCAGTACGCCCCGTCTCGTGTTCATGATGCAGTGAAGCTCGTTGTTGCTAAGATAGCCAAGGCATCGGGTGGGGTGGTTACGATCGAGGATGACACGCTTCTGCCGGGGAAGAGAGTGGATGTGGCGGTTAGGAAACCAATGGACGGGGAAAAACATGCGCTCGAGGTGAGCGTCGTGGATCCGGTTTCGCTACCGGTGCAGCAGCATGGGCAGTGTGGGCGGACAGTAGGTTTTGCTGCCAAGGAGCGAGAGAAGAGGAAGGCGACGGATTATCAACCTTTTCTGCGGCAGCACAGGGGGGTTCGTTTCTTCCCGTTGATTCTTGAGACTTGGGGTTGCTTGGGGGGAGCTTTCGACAGTGGTTACGGCAGCAGGGGGGGGTTCAAGTAAAGGTGGCTCTTAACAAAGGTGTGGGAAGGGGCAACAGCTCGGGTTTCTCGGAATACTTGGTGGGGTCCTTGACAGCCGCGGTAGGGGTAGCTTTGCAGAAGGCACAGGCTCGGGTGATTCTTTTGCGGGTGGCATACACGTTGGGTCAGTCCGAGGCGGAGTGGGTGGAGCGAGGGGGTGGGGAGCAGGAGTTTGGAGAGGGAGCACCATGGGTGGACGTGCCCTACTTGGTCGACATGCGGCTGTAGATGTCTTAGGAAGCAATACTTTGTTTCGGGTTTTGGCGATGGTCTTTTGATGTTTGAGGTAGTAAGACACTTCTAGGAAGGGTTTATGCATGTCTGTATGCTTGTTGAAATGTAACGAAACATGGTACTTTTCTGAAAAAAAAAAAATGTAAATTAGGGCTTGCCGCGTAAACAATGGACGTTTATATGGATGCAAGTGTGATGCAGCACTTTGAAAGGGAACGACGACATCAACCATATCCTCAGTTTGAAAGGAGTTCCACAGTTGCTGTTTTTCTGGGTACATTTTCCAGCAGGCAGCAAAATATTGGGCTCACATGTTTTTTTCACACTCAATAGGTTCCGGTTGAGGGTCCAGTCCTTGTTCTAGCAATACCGGTCTTGTATTTGGAAGTATTGGACAGCCTGTATCCTCTCTGGAATATAAAAACTCGTCCAAACCGTTTATGCGTGTACACTATAGCTAGCCTCGGGGTGTTTCAATTCAATGCTTTCGTGGTCCCAGATTGCGTTGGACAAATCCAGTTGACACAAGACCCAACTTGTTTTTCGGGGCCTCTTCGACTAGCTGAACAGAAAGACACGAGTACACAAACGTTTCGTTAGAGTAATGGGCATATTCAGGGTACATAAATCCCAATGTTTGCTGTTTGCCAATGATCAAACCAGCCCAATTTGACTTGGACTGTTATATTTAACCTACACTGTATGAACCCGGTTCCCTTAGGTACACATTATCAACCAGAAATTCTATTTATATGTATAAAAATTGGTCATGTGTTCATCATCTCTCTTATTAAATGCTAAGAAACACGAACATATATGCAGACATTGTTCAACCAAAGAACGAACTTGTGCAAAAGGTTTTCATGCTTAGAGATTTGATATTGTATCAGTCCATGATGAGGGTTGGATAAAGTACTTTATTACGTATATATATTAGGATATTCCAACTCTATAGGGTCAATATTATGGATTGTCGAGTCCGCTTGATTACGTTTCCAAACTCGTAATCAATCAAAATGGACAAATGTACCAAAGAATTGATTATGGCTTGGAAAAAAATATAGTGCCAATTATTTATAGTATTCTGTAATATAATGTGCGTTTTGTTCAGAATCTTTTGAGAATATCACGACGAGCCGTTGGTACAAAAGCAAATCGTAAGTGAAAGCTTAAAGTCACTCTCTTTCTATTCATAGTGATTCGTGATTTGTACAGCGGATCAAGTGCTCTGTACAAGGGAAAATTTCGAATGCCGATGGGCTGGTGGTGACTGGGAAGTGTTGCAAGTCTTGTGCAGTACAATCGAAGTTCAAGCTTGCTGTACAAATCCTTGGGAGAAAGCGACAGAAAGGGCCAATTTAATAATTTTTTGGGCTGGTTTGTTGACGACATAGTCTGCAGAGAGGCGACAGGCTGGCTGGCAAAAGGCAGTTGAATCGAAACAGATCGCCTTGGGCGACGGACGGACCCCCTTTGACAACCCGTTCGAGGCGCGACGACAGTGATCTTGGTCGCGCACTAACCGGCCGGCTAATCAAGCCCTCCTTGTCACCGCCAGCCGATTTTACCCGTCATCAGTTCGCCATCCACAGACTCATCCGACCACCGCAGTGATTCATTCGTCAATTCAAGAAATTGTACAGAACCAGTAAAAATCAGAGTCAAGAGTAGTACCCACAAATTAAATTACTAGAAATTGCTTTTGTTCAAGTCAGCCCGCTATGTCTTAGTGGATCCACTGAATACACCGATTCAGGCAAGCGCAGCATACACACCCATCCCTGCGTTGCCTTAGAATTGAGACATCTCAAAACAAACCTGTTATCGCAAGCCAAGCCCTCCATTGCCCAAAGTTACCCTCGTTTCCAGTCGACTAGCTAAGCCCTAGAAGATCCACTCAAGCCACCAACTCTCGGCAAGCGCGGCACTCTCACCCATCTCTGCCGCGCCTTGGCATCCACCTGACCAGCTTCCATCTGATATACCGTAAGCGTAAGTGAGCTCTTGAGACGACTCAAAAACTCATTTATGTCACCTTGCTAGGCCTCGGCAAGCGCAGCACTCTCACCCATCTCTGCCGCGCCTTGGCATCCACCTCGCCAGTTTCCATAGCAGACACGGACCGTGGCACAAGCCTTGACATACCCGAACCTGCGTCCGAACCTACTTCCAAGCCTGCTTCTGGCCCTGGAGGAAGGCTCTGAAGTAGAGATCTTCGCACCCCCAACTCACACCCTTCGCTCACAAGCACCCCCTCTTCCTCCACCACCACCCCTTTCCCCCCTGCCACTCCCTCCTCTCCAAGCCTCTTTCGATACTCCTTACAAACAACCTCTGCTTCTTGCCTTCCTATCACACCCTCTTGTGCCCCCACACCAGTCTCCCCACCCTGATTAGAATGCGCCTCTTTGCTTGAACGTAACTCCGTTTCTCCGGTCGCCACACCCATCCGCTTGGATGGGCTGAAAAAGAGAGCAGGGGCGAGAGTGAGGTTCCTGAGTCGTGAGCGTGAGAAGGAGCGAGTGAGCGAGGCGAGGAACTTGCGACCCGGCGAGGGTGAGGGGGAGGGGGAGGGGGCTGAAGAGGAGGAGGAGTGCGGGAGGGCCGGGGGGGGAGAGGCGATCGGTGCGCTGTGGTCGATGAAGATTGTATCGGACAAAACAGGAAGGGATTTGGTTGCAGGGATGAAGGATGTGAGGGGGGATGCGGATGGGGAGAAGATGGAGAGGAGGAGGGGATCCCTAAGCTCTAAATCAACGGGAGCAGCAGCAGCAGCAGCAGCAGCAGCAGCAGCAGCAGCAGCAGCAGCAGTATCACCAGCAGGCGCCCCAGCAGAATCACCATCAATAACAGAAACTGTAACAGCTTCTGTAGCAGCAGCAGCAGCAGCATTGGTCCTAGGGAGAATTGTAACATCATTGCCAGCAGCACATGACACCGTGTCACACCCTGAGGCACCAGCAGCAGCAGCGGTGGTAACAGCACCAAATTCACCAGCAGCAGCAGCAGCAGCAGCACATGGCGCTAGCTTTCTCTCAACAGCCATACTAGCTTCAGCAACCCTCATGGCAGCATCATCACCATCACCAACATTGTCATCATCACCGTCACCAGCAGCAGCAGCAGGAGCAGCAGCATCGGCAACAGAACCCAGGTCACCATCCGAAACCCCATCACGGCCACTCCAAGAATCAGCGGCAGGCTCGGAATCAAGCTCGGCACCAAACCCACCATCAGTCTCGGCATCAGGCTCGGCATCAGGCTCGGCATCAGGTCCGGCAGAGTCACTGCTGGGGCAGGCAACGAGCACACGTCTCACCCTCACCATGTCACTGAACTGCACGCGCCGCCCTGATCTGCTGCTCTTGCCACCACGCCCCCCACTCTTGCCAGCAGGCTTCCCTGCTTCTGCTGCGTCTGATACTGCTCCTGATGCCTTTGATTCTGTTGGAACCCCCACTTCTGCTGCGGTCCTGCCGGCAGGTCTCCCTGCTTCTGCTGCATCTGATACTGCTCCTGAAGGGCTTTCCCCTGTGTCAACCCCTGTCCCTGCTCTGCCTGATTTTGCACCTGACGGGTGTGACACTGCACCAACCCCTGCTTCCGCGTCTGCTGCTACTCGTTCTGTGTCTGCTGGAGACTCGTTTGCCGTTCGTCCCGCTTCCATCCCATCCCCCTGATGCTCCTCCTCCTGCTGCTCCTGCTGCTCCTGCTGCTCCTGCTGCTCCTGCTCCTCCTGCTGCTCCTGCTGCTCCTGCTGCTCCTGCTGCTCCTGCTCCTCCTGCTGCTCCTGCTGCTCCGCCTGCATCGGTTCACTGCGTTTCCCCGTCTGCAGAACCCCATCACTCACGCTCCTATGCACGCCTCCCCCTCTCCCCTTCCCCTCCGCTCCCCCCTCCCCTACTTGTCCGCCGGAGCATGAGGAGACGGGGGAGCGGGCCCCCGTGGGGAGGGGGAACTGGAACGCGGGGGAGCGGGGGTGGGCGGAGGGGGAAGGCGGAGCGGGAGGGGAAGAGGTGGAGAGGTGGAGGAGGGGAGGAGAATCACCGGTCCCGTCCTGCCAATCCGTGGCAGGGATTGAGAGAGAGCGGGCTCCACCTGTTGCTCCACGGGTCCCATCCTGCTGCTCTGATGCCCCCTTGCTTCTGCCTGCATGCTGCTCCTGCTGAGACGATGATTTAGTCGACTCAAAAATCGTCGCTCCACGGGTCCCACCCTGCTGCTCTGATTCCCCCCTGCTTCTGCCTACATGTTGCTTCTGCTGAGGCTGACGCTCCTGCTGCGGTTGAGGCTTCCCGAAAACGGGTAGCGCGGCAGCATCGCTCTCGTGTGGGGCACTCTCGTTTAAAGCACTCTCGTTTAAAGCACTCTCGTTTGCGTCACTCACCAAGAGCACCTCTCCCCCCTCTCCCCCCTCTCGCCCCTCTCGCTCCTCTCGCCCCTCTCGCCCCACCCTCAACCCCCCTTCCCCGCCCTCCTTCCCTTCCCCCGCCTCCCCCTCTCGGCTTCCACTCTCCTCTTCCACTCCTAACCCCTCTCCGTCCTCTCTTTTCGCTCCTCGCCTCGTTTCGTCCCTTTCCTCTCTCCCCCTTCCGTCATCTCTTTCCTCTATTCCCTCCCCATCCTCTCCTTCCTTCCCCCTCTCCACCACCTCCTCTATAACCCCAATGCCGTGACTCAAACTAGCCATGCGCCATGCATTCTCTTCCCCCCCCTCCCTTGCTCCTCCCTCTCTTGCTCCCCCTTCCCCCTCCGCCTCCCCAATAACCCCAACACCGTTACTCAGACTAACCATGCGCCATGCATTCGCCTCCGCGCTCGTCCCCACGACCCCCATGCCATAGCTCAGACTACATCTGCGCCAAGACGCCTCCCCTCGTCCCCCCCCCCCCTTCCCCTTCTCCTTCCCCCTGCCCGCTCCTCTCCACCTCCCCAATAACCCCAATACCGTTGCTTAGACTAGCCATGCGCCATGCATTCCCCTCTCCGCGCGTCCCCCCAATCCCCATGCCGTAACTGAGACTGCATCTGCGCCAAGACGCCTCCCCGCTCCCCCCCTCCCCCTCCCCTTCCCCGAGCCACGTGCTGTAGTCTCCTCCCTCCTCCCTTCCCCCCTCGCCTCCCCCATTCGCCTCCCCTCCTCCCCCTCGCGCGCTCGTCTCTATCTCCCCAATACCGTGACTCAGACTCGCCATGCGCCAAGCCATCTCCTCCTTCCCCGCGCTTACTCCCCCAACCCCCCGCGCGCTCGTCTCTATTTCCCCAATGCCGTGACTCAGACTCGCCATGCGCCGAGACGACTCCGCGCTCTCCCCCTTCCCTTTCCCCTTCCCCGCCCCCGCTCCAGCCCATCCTCCCCGCTCCGCGTCCCCCGCCCCGTCCCCAAGCCCTGCCGCGCCGCCCTCCCTTCCGCATCCGCCACGCGGCGACGGCAGCGCCACAGCTGCCGCCGCGGCCGTCAGATGCGCGATCCCGTCGCGCATGCTCTCCCCGCTCCCCGAGTACGCTATATCGCGAAAAGAGCCTACTATATCCGTGTCACTCCCCCCAGTCCACCCAATCTCCTCAGTCCCCACCCACAGTTCCCCCAATCCCCCCGGTAAACCCGCTGCTCCCGCGGCTTCCCCAATCGGTTCCGCTCCGTCCCCCTGCCTGGCGAGTCCCCGCCACCCCGCAAGGCTACTAGCCGCAGTGCCCCGCGGGCTAGCTTGGCGGAGGCCGCCGCGCGGACCAGACGTCGCGCCGCCCTTCCCCGCGCGCTCAAGCGCAGGATCCCCTGCCCGCTCTGTCCGTGCTTTCCGCGCTGCCCGCGCTGCCCGTGCTTCCCTCGCTTCCATCGCTTCCCCCGTAACTTCCCCCCCGCGTCCCGTTCCGCGCGCCACTCCCGCCCGACCAGCGCCCCGCCCCCGCGGGCTCTGTACGACGCGGAAGACGATGCGCGGACCTGCGTGCGCCGCGCTTCCCCCCTCGCCTCCGCCCTCGTCGTCCGACTCCTCCCCCTCTTCCCCTGATTCCGCTCCCCAGTGTTCGCCCTTCTGCGACGACGGCGGCGGCGACTGCTGCGACGACTCCTGAGATTGCTGCTGCGACGCGCCCGCGCCGCCCTTGACGCGTCGCGTGAAAGGAACGACCATCATTGGTTCTTTCCCGCTCATACTCTTTCCTGAGGTTCCCGCCGCCGCGCCTGGATTCCGTCTAAAGCTTGCGCTGCGCGCCGCGGCCCGAGGGGATTTCGGCACGGCGGAAGAGTCATTCGCCGCAAGCCGCGCAGAGAGCGGCGCGTGTTTCGTCTCGACAGACGAGCATCGCACGACGCCGCCGTACAATTCCACGTCATCGCTGGCTGGCGTGTCATTTAGCCCTCGGAAAGACATGGAGGAGAGGGAGACTGGGACGATGGACGGCGCGACGCCGCTAGACGCGCCGTCTAACGCGGCGGGAGATGCAAACGTAGGATCTCGTCGGCTGGAGAAAAGACGCGAAAGCGTCGGGCGCCGTCTCGTTGCTGGCGCCGCCGCCGCCGCCGTCGCCGTTGCCGTCGCGTCCCTCTGTTGCTGCCCTTTCGAGAGATTACTAACGTCAACTTCGCCGGGTTTCGGGTCACCGTCGCGCGGTTTGTCTTTTAGGAACGACCGGAAGTCGGAGAACGAGATGTTCCGCGCGTGCCCTCTCCGCCGCCCCCGCCCTTCCGCGCCATTTCCGCCAGCCCCGCCCCCTCGCGCAGCTCCGCCAAATGCGCTGTCCGCGTCTTGCGCGGCGCCTTCTTCGAGACTGAAGTCCGCCCAAAGTTCCTCCATGTCTATTGACGAGGTAGCTCTATGGCGAATCGCCGTCGCGTGCGGGCTGCGCACGGGGGTGAGCGCGGCGGGCCGCCAAGCGGCGGAAGCAGAGCTTCCGCCGCGGGGGGAAAGAAGCGCGGAGGCGGCGGAGCCATCGGGGGAAAGTAGCGGGGAGGAGGAGCCGTCGGAGGAGAGATTTGAGGGGGAAAGCACGCGGTCGCTCTCCCTTCCGCTAATAGGTTCCGCCCATCGTACCGCGAGTTGCGGGGATCTGGGGGAGAGTCGGCTATGTCTGGGGCTTTGCGCGGGCGCGGAATCCAAGGTCCGCGCACGGCGTTGCGGGTGGGGCCCGCCGGGGAATTCAATCGGCGCGCAACGGGAGCGCGGAGAGGGGAGAGTTTTTGGCCTCTCCAGAAAGCGAGGGAGGTCGGATGGGGGTATGGAGGGTGATACTATCGGGCTTAGCGAGTCTGCCGCGTTCGAGCCCATAAGGACGTGCTTCTAACAAAGGAATAGCGGCGCACTATGTTACGTTAGAGGAGTAAAAGTATATCCTTGGAAGCTGGTGAATTGCAGAACATACTAAGTTCCTGGCATTTCGGCTCGTTGGGTAGAGAGTACAGCACGGTTTGCCCTTAGGCTTCGCTCATTGAGCAATTTGGGATGCGGATACACTAGGGAAAGTAGTTAGGTCCCTCCCTACTGGAGTGTGAGAGAAGCGCACGTTCAGCCATATTTTTTGTCAGATGCAAATACTTTAATCAACGGTTCGCTAGGGTTTGTTGCATTTCAAAACGGTAAAACAGCATAACTCCACTCGATAAGACGACTATGGAATGTACAGAGTGCCTGACCTGAAGTGACAAAAAGCGGCGCTGTACAGACCAGATAGGCAAGTGATAATATAAGATGTGCGTGCTTGTCTCCATGCTCTTGGTTGAACTGTGCGGTTGTCCGTGTAGACGCAATGGCCAGGCTGAGTTTGGAATTTAGGAAGACGACAGCAACGTATTAGCTGCTCGGTGCTCCCGTAGCCACGCGAGAAGGTTCACTGAAGCTGAAGAGTGTTGAGAGTTTCGGTGTCTACTGCCCGTACAAGATGGGACCATTCCATTCGTACAGTATTTTATGGGACCATGTGTACACCAAGGGCAGAATGACGGGGAGGCTCGGAAATGAAGTTTGGAGGGGCACGAAGCGCAGCACAGGCTGGTACTTTCTGTGAAAAAGTCACATCCCAGCCAGGTGCGAAGGTGTGATGCGAACACAACAGCGAAAGCGAGTCAGTTACAGTACGAACAACAAATTGCACACTCACACTGAGTCAGGTTGTCCACCAGCCAACAGCAAACAGTAAACAGGGGCCAAATTTGCTCGGCTAGAAGAAATCCGGTTGTAGGAGACTACGGCACCCACCCTGTGCTGCCACACACTTGGAAGTTGATGTACAGAACAATCTAGATTCCTGGTGTTAGGCCCCTTGGCCTAAATCCGCTAAGGAATAGCGGGGTTGACTAAATTGAGGATAAAGCGCAACGGAAGACTTTGGCAAAAGATGTGTTGGCGAAATAGGCGAAGAAGTAACTGAGTAATTGATGAATGAGAATTGATTGATAATGGCAAGTACAAGCAAGGTTGATATAGCATGCAAGGGCGAATGTCAGAGAGTAGTTCGTGGGGCTACGAAGTAGAATGCAAGAAAGCTAGAGTGCCACGTGGCACAAGGAATTCACGGAAATCCCAAAGGGATTGGATGGAGATAATGTTGGGATTGGATAGGGGGACTGTTTAGGGTGAATAACCCTTGAACAATAAAGTACCCCGTAACACTACCCCCCTCCCAAGGAAGCGACGTCCGCGGCGCCTGCAGACTCAAGGTACGCTTGAAGGCAAGCGTTGTCGGGAGACAGCGAGGACGAAGGAACCCAGCTGTCGTCGGCTGCAGCGTAACCACGCCAACGAACCAAGAAGTCGATGAAAGAGACACCCCCCTGGAGACGACGACGGTGCCTGAGGATGCGCTGGATCTGGTAGTCGGGCTCGTCGGGGTCAACAGCTACCGGCAGTGGAGTGCGGTCACGGCCCGAGAAGGTGGCGTTGGGATCGGTGTAAGGACAAAGAAGCGACACGTGGAATGACGGGTGCATGCGGAAATGAGCGGGAAGGCGAAGGCGGTATGCGACTGGTCCTAGTGCACGCTCAATGACGAATGGACCAATGAAGCGAGGGCGAAGCTTGCTGTCCTGTGGCAGTCAGAGGTCTCTGGATGGTACACAGACGACATGGCTAAGCGAGTCCCAAACAGTGCGAAAAGCTGCTTCCAGAACTTCGAAGTGAAACAAGGGTCGCGGTCTGAGATGATGGAATATGGAACCACGTGCAGTCGGACTACGTTATCTACGAACAGCGTCGCGGCTTCCTCTGCTGTGACTTTGCCTTGCGTGGGGATGAAGTGCGCTGCTCGAGAGAACTTATCCACTACCACGAAGATGGCGTCGTGACCCCTAACTGTACGCGGTAAAGCCATGATGAAATCCATGGTATCTACCTGCCAAGGGCACTCGGGCGATGGAATCGGCTGCAAAAGTCCTGCTTTGCGCTGGCGAGAGGACTTCGTACGCTGACACGTGTCGCACGAGCGAATGTGATCCTCTACGTCTGCTGCAAGCCCTGGCCAGAAGTATGTGCGATTAAGCGTCTTAGCTGTCTTATCTGCACCGAAGTGACCTGCACTAACGACATCGTGTGCCTCGGAAAGAAGGAGCTGTCGAAGAGGGCGGTAGGCGGGAACCCAAATCCGTGATGTACCCTTTCGTATTTAGACACTACCCTGCACCTCTGCTCCTGCGGGCGGCTGCGGTGTGAAGTCGGGATCTACTGTGTAACCGTGCTCAAAAAGTGTTGTGAGAAGTGGATGGCCGGCAGTGACTGTGAGGCTAGCGAGCTGGCAACTAGGGCGAGTGAGCGAATCTGCTGGGTTGCGCACGCCTGGCTTGTACTCTATCCTGTAATGGAAACTCCCCTCCATGAACTCCATCCATCTAGCCTGGCGACGACTGAGCTGCGGCTGCGACTTGAGAAAGCGAAGGGAACAATGGTTCGTGCGTATAACACTATCTGCCCCCTCTATGTGAGAGTACGACGGCTTATGCTGGCTTTGCTAGCTTGCCTAGACTTTATTATGCTATATCTAGCTTGGGTTTATTTTATCATGCATAGATATGTTTGATTTCTTTGGTTAGGTGCATTCCTATATTTTATTATAGTTATAGCACCGAACCAGGTTACGTGTACCGAACTCGAGCCTATTCGGTTTCCACCGAATTGCTTTCTACTGAGTTCGGGAAGGTTCTGTTCGGGACGCTTCGCGACCCTCAGAACATTCGCGTAACACCTGGGTAACTGGCCTTGTGTCGAGACCATATATAGCCTCGTGTTGTACCCAGGTGAATCATTCAATTACAATTCTCTTTTCTGAGCTCGATCCTAGATCCTCACACTTGGTAATCAGAGCCTGTTTAGACGCGAAGTTTTTCGACCACTAAAACCTAGCTTTTAAAACCGCCGAGGCGACAACGAAAAGCGCCGATTACGGGTACGTAAACCAGTTCCGCGCTATTTTTGAACGTCCCCCACGAATCGGTTTTCGAACCCACCTCAGGCCCAGTGGCGAAAAAGTTGGAATTTGGACCGTCGGATCAATTCGAATCTCAACGGCCCTGAGAATTTCGCCCAAAAAAAGTTGAAATTTGGAGCGTCGGATCGAATTTCTTCTCAACGGCCGAGATCGGACGCGAATTTCGACTAAGGGAGAATTGAGCGACCAACAGAATCAGCGCTCATCATTTCTACATTCGATTCGACTCACAGTAAGATGACTAGCGCCTAAAATTCATTTATTTTCATCGCAAATCTTCCTGTAAATCGCAAAATGGAGGAAAAAGGTGATAATTCCGTACGAAAAATTACGAAGTTACACACCGGCTTGGACCAGACGAGAGCGGCACTCCAGTGAATAGAGGCACTTCTCGCGAACCAGTCGGCAGCCGCCATAGCAGCAGCGAACGCAGCAGCGAATGCAGCAGCGACGGCAACAGCAGCATCGGCGACACCGACACTTCACCCAGCAGCAGCGGCAGCGGCTACAGTGAATCTTGAGGCGGCACGTCCGAGGCTACCGGAGACACTCAATCCGAATGCAAGAGACACCGACGTCCGTCGATTCATTGCGACCCTCGAAATTTACTTCGAGGCCGTTGGCTGTACGACCCCGACACACGATGCAATGCGGATTCGGCTCGCAGCGACACTGTTACGAGGCCCGGCGCTCGAGCGGATTTACAAATTAACGAGGTCCGAGGCGAGGGTGTCAAACTTATATGCTATAGTCTGTGTAGGCTGTAGTGGGGTAGACAATATGGGGTACGACACTTTTTAGGTTTTCCTACTTGTACCCACCTGTTTCCTAGTGCATTCATCCCTTGTTCTTTCACATGGTATAGAGCAGGTTCCCTAGTGGGAACGTTTCCTAGGGCCCACCGAAAATTCGAAATTTTTTTCCTGCCCGGAGCGCGCTTCACCCCTGCCCGAGTCGCGCCCCACGTCCCCTGCCCTTAGTGGCCCCTTAGCCGATCCCTCGCGGCCCCTCTCACGGCCCCTCGCGACCCCTTAGCCGCTCCCTCGCGGCCCCACTCACGGCCCCTCGCGGCCCCTCTATCCCGGCCCCTCGCGGCCCCTTAGCCGCTCCCTCGCGGCCCCTCTCACTGGTCCTCGCGGCCCCTCTCACGGCCCCTCCGCGGCCGTTCGTGGCCCCTCGTGGCCCCTCTCCCGGCCCCTCGCGGCCCCTCTCACGGCCCCTCGCGGCCCCTCCGCGGCCGTTCGCGGCCCCTCGCGGCCCCTCTCGCGGCCCCTCCGCGGCCGTTCGCGGCCCCTCGCGGCCCCTCTCCCGGCCCCTCGCGGCCCCTCTCACGGCCCCTCGCGACCCTGTCGCGGACCCTCGCGGCCCTGTCGCGGCCCCTCGCGGCCCCTCGTGGCTCGTCGCGGCTCGTCGCGGCCCCTCCGTGGCCCCTCTCCAGGCCCCGTCGCGGCTCCCTCGCGGCCCCGTTGCGGCTCCCTCGTCGCCCCTGCCCGCCGCGGCGCCCTGCCCTAACCCGCGCCCTGGAGCAGCCGCCACTGCAGCAGCCGCCCCTGGAGCAGCCGCCCCTGCAGCAGCCGCCCCTGGAACAGCCGCCACTGCAGCAGCCGCCCCTGGAGCAGCCGCCCCTGCAGCAGCCGCCCCTGGAGCAGCCGCCCCTGCAGCAGCCGCCCCTGGAGCAGCCGCCACTGCAGCAGCCGCCCCTGGAGCAGCCGCCCCTGCAGCAGCCGCCCCTGCAGCAGCCGCGGAGCCCTCGCCCTGCAGTGGTAGCGGCCTCGCCGTTGCCACCGTCGTACGCCTGCCCTTCTCGCCACTGGTGAGCACTGACCTGCCCATACTGCTGTTACTGCTGCTCTTGCTGCTACTGCTCTTTCTGCTGCTACTGCTGCTCCTGGCGTGGCCAAATGCAGCTCCAGCGCCGTCCGCGTGAGTCCCTCGCCCCCCACCAGCTTCGTGAGTGGTACGCTAGTTGGGGTTGTAGGGGTGGCCGCGCCGCGACTACTGCTAATGCTTCTACTGCTGCTACTACTGCTACTGCGGCTACCACTGCTCCTCCTGCTCCTGGCGGTGGCCAGATGCAGCTCCGGCGACGTCCGCGTGAGTCCCTCACGCCCCAACAGCTTCGTGAGTGGTACGCTACTTGGGGTTGTCGGGGTGGCCGTAGTGGGAGTCGTTCTGGCGTGAGGAGTTCGGGAGCTGCTTGTAGTGGCCAGGTGCAGCTGCAGCGTAGTCCGCGCGCGGTCCTTTCGCCCCAGCAGCTTCGTGAGTGGTACGCTCAGCGTGGAGGGTCACGGGGTACTGCTTGCTGTCCGTACGTCATTCGCACTGGTGCTCGGACTGGTCAGCCCTGCGGGACGGTTGGTCACGCCGAGTCCCGCTGCTTCGCCCGTCTGACCCGGGGTAGGTACTATGTTGTCGTGTACCCGTAGATGATGTTGTGCGAAGTACGTCACTTACTTTGCAATACTATGTTACACTAATAGCTTGTTTATTAACTCTGTATATGTGACTGGTGATCATTTGAAAGATCAACGCACTGTACCTTGAATGTTTTGGATGTTGAGGTAGTGCAACAGACGTGTAAAAGAACCAGGCCTATCAAAGGTAGACATGAGAATTGTTGGGGCCTGCTGCATTGATGTTGCTGTGGTAATTGTTGGGAACTATTATAGTTAGAGAAGAACCTTCATGTTTGTGGAGAGCAGATCCACAAGCAACTTAGGAGATTACGCTCTGCTCCTTGACACAAGCCATGGGCATCCAAACGGCACCCACCAAGCAACACACCGGTCAGGAACGCCCCTACTCCACACGCACATCATCCCCACATGCTGATACTGCTCTCCCTTGCTGCACACCCGCAACGCACATCATCCCCACACACTGATACTGCTCTCCCTTGCTGCACATCCCCACATACTGATACCGTACTACGCACATCATGTGCAGACATCCGCAACGCCTCGCAGCTTCCCGAGCGGGGGCGGTGGGAGGGAAGGGCGTGGCAGGGGCGGTGGGTCAAAGGCCACGGTGGTGGCAGGAGGATCAACAGTTACAGGGGTCTCAGGAGCAGTGACCAGTTGAGAGAGGAGGGCGGTGGCATGGGAGAGGCGGTGGGAGCGAGAGAGGCAGGAGAGGAGAAGAGAGAGGGTGGCCGTGCCGCACGGCATGTTGGCCCTGCGCATTTCATCAACCAATCGCAGCGCAGCGTCTGGCATGTTAGCTCGCGTGTACCCCTTGAGAAGAGCGTTACAGGCATCGATATAAAGGCGACGGATGCAGGCATGCATGCAGAGAGGAGAACGCCTCTTCTGCCATGTTAATGTCACCAGCCGCCACATGCGTTGCTATGCGCGCCACATGCATGGGTCGAGTCTCGACCACCCTCCTCCACATACCCTCCACCTCCCCCCCGCCCGTCCTATGGCCATCCCCAGCGCAGCGCAGGCAGCAGGGGACGGCGCCAAGCCATCGTCCAGCAGGGCGTGGGAAGATTTTTCTGCCCGGGACAGCTGCCCGGTGTGAAGGAAGAGGCGGAGGAGGATGGAGTGGGTTTGCGCGGAGGGGAGCAGGCGATGGTGGTGATGCATGGCGTGCAGGAGGGCGTTGAGAAGGTGGGCGCGGACGAGGGTGCGTGAGAAGGGTGGCGCAGGCAGTGGCGCAGGCAGTGGTGCAGGCAGTGGCGCAGGCAGTGGTGCAGGCAGTGGCGCAGGCAGTGGTGCAGGCAGTGGCGCAGGAGGATGTGGAAGGTGAAGAGGGACGGGGCGACGACGCCCTGCAGAGGCACGGGGACAGGGATGCGGGCGCGGGAGGAGGTGAGAGATTGATTGCAAGATTGCACACATAGAGAAGCCACATGTGCGATGAGAAGCCACACAGTTAGCATGCGGACGTGGGAGCGTGCAGGGGATGGTGCAGGCAGTGGCACAGCAGAATGTAGAAGGAGAAGAGGGACGAGGCGATGCTTTGCAGACACACAGGCATGTCCATGGCGTGAGAGTGGGAGGAGGTGAGAGTGGGAGGAGGTGAGAGTGGGAGGAGGTGAGAGTGAGAGGAGGTGAGAGTGGGAGGAGGTGAGAGTGAGAGTGGGAGGAAGTGAGAGTGAGAGCAGGCTCCACACACAGACAGAAGCCAGACATGAGATGAGGGAGGCAGCATGTGCCACGTAACAATAAAACACATCCATTAGCATTGACCAGCGTTGACCAGCGTTGACCAGCTTTTACACAGCCCCTTCATCACACTCTCATGCACCCATGCACCATGCACCATGCTGACATCATCCCAAGAGCTTGGTGGTGCCGGCGCCTCTTCCTTAGTCACCCATGCACCATGCTGACTATTGAGGCTGGCAGCATCAATAGTCGCCAGTCCAGCACTGCTCTGCTAGTGCCGTTGATGCAACTGCTGCTGCTGTGATTCGCAGTGCGTGGCAGCGTACAAAACGGACAGGCGCAGAAAGGGTGAATGAAGGGGCGGAGGGCAGGAAAACAGAGCCTTGCGTGCTAATGAGCAAATTCATATGGCTCACATGCGGGACTCAGTCAGAGTCGTATGGGATGACAGGTCCCCTGACACCAGCTCGCATTCATTATTGCTGGGTCTGAAAGATCGCGCATGGTTGTGGATGATCGTGGATGATTATGCATGGTTGTGCATGGTTGTGCATGGTTGTGCATGATTGTGGATGGTTGTGCATGATTGTGCATGATTGTGCATGGTTGTGCATGATTGTGCATGGTTGTGCATGGTTCTGCATGGTTGTGCATGGTTGTGCATGATTGTGCATGGTTGTGCATGATTGTGCATGGTTGTGCATGGTTGTGCATGGTTGTGCATGGTTGTGCATGATTGTGGATGGTTGTGCATGATTGTGGATGGTTGTGCATGATTGTGCATGATTGTGCATGATTCTGCATGATTGTGCATAATTCTGCATAATTGTGTCACATACACATCCAATGAGAGCACACCATGCATGCAGATAACATATGGTTCACTCACATAAGGGACTGCAAGTTCTTTTGAGCCACAGTCCCTGAGGCCCCTTGACACAAACTAGCAGTCCTTAACCTTGGGACTTGCAGTCCTTTTGAGCCATTTCTTTAGAATTCCAAAAAAACATCGACACAAACTCGCACTCGTACTTGTACCTCCCCACATGGGACGGCGCGCGGGACGACACCTGAGACAGCAGGGGCAAAAAAGTGCACACGTGGGATGAGGGAGAGGGGCCGAGGACCAAGCAGGAGTAAGAGAAAGGGCGGTTGGAGGGAGGGACACGCAAAGGGTTAGTGAAGGCTACGGGGAAAACGGCTGAGAGTCCGAATAAAGCGGGGGAGGAAAGCTAAGCGGGGGAGGAAAAAAAACCAGTGGTATTTATTTATATAAACCCTTGGCTAAGGGCCAGGGGAGAAAGAAGACGGGGAGGGAGGATGATACATACAGTATGGGAGAAATAGGAGAGGGTGCGGAGGCAAATCCAGACTACAGCACCTCGCCTGCCTGCCCTTGCCCTGCTGCGGCTGCACCACTGCTAAGGCCTTGCAGCACGTCGGGTGGGGGAAGAACGCAGGTGGGTGGGGGAAGAACGCAGCTGGGTGGGGGAAGAACGCAGCTGGGTGGGGGAGTGAGGAGTGGGGGAGTGAGGAGCAGGGGAGTGAGGAGTGGGGGAGTGAGGAGTGGGGGAGTCAGGAGTGGGAAAGTGAGGAGTGGGGGAGTGAGGAAGGGCACTGACGTGGGAGGAGGGGAGGGCGTGGGGGGCCAAGACTAAGCGAGATTCAGGAGGCAGGGGATAGGGGGGAGTGTAGGCGGACAGGGGATAGGGGGGAGTGTAGGCGGACAGGAGGTTCTGCCGTGCACAGAGTGGTAACACCAGAGGTAACGGTCAAGAGCGGTTTAGGAATGTTCAGGACATTTCAGAACGGTTCGGAAAGGTTCAGAGCAGTGCTTACCAGGGCGAAGGATTCAGAGTGCCTGGAGATGGTAGCGAGGCAGACACCGACCTGTACGTCATGCAAAGCGGTGCAGATGGGTGGAGGGAGACAGGTGGAGCCGAAAGAATCACAGGGATGCAGAGAGGTTAAGAGGGTTGAGTGGAACTTGGAGATGGGTGCAGAATGGTGCAAAAGGGGTGTAGAGATGCAGAGTCAAGGTGGTTGTGCAGAAGCGGATAGGAGCAATCAACAGGGGTAGAGAGAAGCGGAGGGCAGCTGCAAGTTGCAAGGTGAAGAAGGGAGAAGGAGCAAGAGTGGTGCAGAGGAGGGAAATGGTGATGAGACAGGGGTTGGGAGTGGGCGTTGGGGAAGCATGAGCAGAGACATTGGTGGCAGGAGGTGAAGTGAGAGCATTGAGAGAACAGGTGCCAGCTATGAGCACAGCACCTGACGCCTTGTCTTCACGTCAGATGCTCACAAAGTCATGTGCTCACCCCATTCTCACCCATCCCTCCCATCATCACCCATCCTACCCATCCCCACCAATCCCACCCATCCACCCATCCCCACCCATCCTACCCATCCCCACCAATCCCACCCATCCACCCATCCCCACCCATCCTCACCCATGGGAAGCTATTTGCGAGAGTGCCACGTGCACGCCCCTTTGCAGGTGGCGTGGGCATTACCCATCACTACCAGGTCTTGCAGCGCGACGGGGATATGCGGCATATACCTCCCTCACCTCCGCTGCTGCTGATGAGGCGTGCAGGCAGTGCAGCAGACGAGTTGCTCCAGGTTGGTCCAACACTTGCTGCGGGGGAATAGAGAAGGGGCGGGGGGGGTGGTTTGGGCAGGGAGTTGGGGAAAAGGGGAAGTGCGGAGGCGAACAATAGAAAGGGTTGGCATAACTTGAAGGACCCAGCCTCGTCACGCCTGCTGCTCCTGCTGATTCGCTGCTCCTGCTGATTCGCGTGAGTCGTGCAGGCAGAGTAGCAGGCGAGATGCTCCGGGTTGGTCCAACACTTGCTGCGGGGTGTTAGGGAGAGAAGGGAGAGAGATGGGTGAGCGGAAGGGGGGTGGGGTGGGAACGGGGAATGAGCATGTAGGTCCTGACTTGCCACCACTATTTGCTCCCACTGCTGGAAGGAGATGAGAGGTGCAGATACAGGGGCAGGTTGGTTCAGCATTCGAGACTCGGGGAGGCAGGGAATAGGGGAGCGTGTGGGCGTGCAGGGAGTGGGCGGGTACCAGGGGTAACGGTTCAGAGCCGTCCAGAACTGTTCGGGATGGTTTGGAGCGGTGCTTTCCAGGGCGAGGGCTTCAGAGTGCCTGGCGATGGTAGAGAGGCAGACGCAGACCTGTGAGGGGTGCTGAGGGGTGCAGGGGGGTGCAGGGGGGTGCAGGGGGGGTGCACTGGGGAAACAGGGGAAGCAGAAAGAAACACGGGGGGTGTGAAGAGGTTGAAGAAGGCACATGGGGGGTTAAGGAGGGGTACAAAAGGGTGTACAGAGGTGCTGGAGTGATGCAGAGTTCAGATGGCGGGAGGGAGCAAGGACGTTGCATAGGAGGGCGGAATGGATCAGTCAGGCCATGGGTGGGAGTGGGCGTGAGTGGGTTGCAGAAAGCTACATTAGTCTGTGGGACCCCGTGAATGCTTATAGCGGAAGGGGGGAGAGAAGGCGGAATGCATAAGGATGCAGAAGGGGAGGGGGGAGAGAAAGGCGGAATCCATAAAGATGCAGAAGGGGTCACAAAGAAGGAAACTGGAAGGGTGGCGGAAGCAAGGCAGAAGGAAGGGGGGAGAAAGGGCGGAGGAAGCAGGCAAGTGCAGCGCTGAAGCACCCACCCACGTGCCCCATTGCCTCATCAGCGTGTCCCTGTCATCGTCCTCCTTCCCCGCCTGAGCCCACGCTCTGCCATACGCTTACCCCACCCATCCCACCCATCCCACCCATCCCTACCCATCCCCACCCATCCCACCCATCCCCACCCATCCCACCCATCCCCACCCATCCCACCCATCCCACCCATCCCTACCCATCCCTACCCATCCCCAGACATCCTTACCCACGTGAGAGTGCCCACGCGCAGGCCCCTTGAGAGTGGCGTCAGCATGGCCCTCCACTAGGCGGTCCTGCAGCGCGGATATGCCGTCCCATGCAGCCCCATGCCGTCCCATGCCAACCCTGCCAGCGCTGCATGCCGGTCCATGCCCCCCCATGCCGTCCCATGCCACCCCATGCCGTCCCATGCCACCCCATGCCGTCCCATGCCACCCCATGCCGTCCCATGCCACCCCATGCCGTCCCATGCCACCCCATGCCGTCCCATGCCACGCCATGCCGTCCCATGCCGTCCCATGCCGTCCCATGCCACCCAATGCCGTCCCATGCCACCCCATGCCGTCCCATGCCACCCCATGCCGTCCCATGGCACCCCATGCCGTCCCATGCCATCCCGTGCCGTCCCATGCCACCCCGTGCTGTCCCATGCCGCCCCTGCCAGCGCTGCGTCTGGTGAGGACGCTGCCGGCCGGCCTGAGCCGTCGCCCTCGTCCATCAGTATCAGAGAGAGAAGGGGCAGGGGACACGGGGAATGGGAGAGCGGGATGGAAAGAGGAGGGAGGGAGGGGTAAGGGAGGAGTGGGGAAGACGGGTGGGTAGGGAGGGGTTGAAAAGAGTATCTAAGCCCTGCCTCGCCACTTCCCTCACCGCCGCTGCTGCTGATGCACGATTGGGGGGCAATGAGTCGTGCAGGCAGAGCAGAGCAGACGCCCCAGGTTGGTCCAACACTGGCTGAGATTCGGGGAGGCGGGGAGGAGAGGAGTGTGTAGGCGGACACGATGCTGTGCTGTGCAGACAGTAGGTGTGCCAGGGGGGTAACGGGTTAGAGCGGTTCAGAGCATTTCAGAACGGTTTGGGATGGTTTGGAGCAGTGCTTGCTTACCAGGGCGAGGGCTTCGGAGTGCCTGGCGATGGTAGAGAGGCAGACGCAGACCTGTGAGGGGTGCAGAGGGGTGTAGATGGATGGGGAGAGAGGGGAAGCAGAAAGCGGCACATGGGTACAGAGAGGTTAAAAAAGGCACAGTGGGGCACAGAGATGGGTGCAGAAGGGCGCGCGGCGATGCAAAAGTTAAGCGATTGTGCAGAGGAGGGCAGGAGCAAACGACAAGGGCAGAGAAGAGAGAAGTGAAGGGCAGCTGCAGGGTTAAGAGGAGGGAAGGAGCAAGCATGGCGGTGCAGATGGCAGCAGAGGTGATCAAAGAGGGGTTGGGAAAGGGCCTTTGGGATGCATGAGCAGAGATGTTGAGTTGAGAGCATCAGAACTATTGGTGCCAGGCATCGGGACAGCACCTGGCGCCTTGTCTTGACGTCAGGTGATCCCAACAGAGAGACGGCGGCGGTGATGCCGCCTGCATCGGCCACGGCTGTAGCATGCAGCAGCGAGTGGCGTGCCACGTCACTCAGCAGCACTGAGAGGGCTATCCGCGCTACAGCCTCGTCCTTCCATTCAATGCAAGGAACACGATATTTGAGGACATGGAATAGGAGGGCAAAGGGCAGAACACAGAACGTGCCGAGAGGTAATGAGAAAAGCCACGCTCACCGCGCGCATGGGCTTTTTGCAATGAGCAACTGCAGACCAGGTCGCACCTGAAGGCATGTCACCAGCAACCGCACTGCACCCGTCTCAACCACTCTCATTGCATACAATGAGAGTGGGACTGATGTGAGTGCGTTGCATACAAAGCGCACTGCACTGCAGAGCTAAAAAAGGATAAAAAGCTGGCGAGTCGCGGATATAAAAGCAGATAAGGCGTCGTAAGAAATGACTCAAGCACTGAAAGGCAGGACTGACGTGAGCGCCTTGCAGAGCGACGGCAGCACGTTGCGCTGCACGAGGTGGTGCGACCACGCGTGCGACACATTCGCCAGGCGACCCAGCGACAGCGTCGCAGAGGATCGCACGCCATGCTGTCCTGCGCGAGCGGCAGCAGCAGCTGCAGCGCGCCGGGCGACAGCAGAGCCTCCGCGTTCTGCGGGGGAAGAAACGCGGGAGGAACGCATTGGGAGTCAATAGAGCCGGCGAGCTCGCGAATCGCAAAGAAGGAACCTCACCCAGCAGCGCCATGAATTCGCCATGAATTCGCAGATCGAAGCTTGAATGCTGAGAGACACTGAGATTAGAGAGCGAAAGAGACTGAGACTAAGGCGCACCTGAGGCGAGACGGCGAGTTCGCCGACTTTCGTGACGAACTGCACGCGCGCGTCGCGGTACGCTTCCATTACCGCCACCACGGCTCGAGCCGCTTTGAACTGCGTGGGTGCTGGCAGCACCGCAGCTGCCGCCATGGCTAAATGCGACGAGTACGTCGTTTTGGGAGTATGATTACGAGATACGCCTACGCTGTCCGTGATTGTCGCGGGAGGACGAGAAGGGTGAATTGCGACTACAGTATCTCCATAGTCATATTGTGCAATTGTTCGCTGTTATTGGTCGCTATCTCGCTTGCATTTTCCTGATTCACATGGCGTGACCTGTTGCCGATAAGATCGGGATTTGGTGAATAATTTACGAGATGTTACGGGTGCAATGAATCTAAGTAGCGAGGATTGCACTAAGGTGGCAAACGAGTACAAAATGTGAGCGAAGGCATGAGCGAACATTTATACGCGAAACATGCAAACGGTAACGCGGTGCGTGCGAGCTAGCTAGTGCTACGCTGGAAGCGAGGCTCGGGCTAGTCCCGAAGCGTAGGCCGACACGGCCAGGCCAGCAGTGCGAGGTTTGGTGAAACGGTGCGCGCGAAGTCGGCGAAGCCCCGTTAGCAGTAACGGGCGAACAACGGCTGCTGCTGTACGCGATGTTGCAGGGCGCGCTAAGGAATATCGAGAAAATTCCTTACACTACCCCCCCCCTCAAGAAGCCCCCTCCGCTACGCGAGTGCGTGTATATCGTGGAAACCCCGGCTCCTCAGGTACACTTGCAGAGTTTCAATGCAACTTGGACGACCGGCGAGCAACACCGTGAGATGACCATAAACGTCAACAGCTGTGCAGAATGAAACAGTGCGCGTCGTTCAGCGTCATCCTCAGGCGGCACCTCCACCGTGCCGTCAACGAACTTCTTCAGCTGCGCGATCTCCAATTGCGATTCAATGGACTCGACCCACGTTGTCAAGTCATGACGCCCTTCAAGCAATTTCGGCACGACGATTTTGTCGGGTGAGAATTTGAAGTATCCGTATTCCGGAGCAATTCCACCATCGCGTACGGTTGACGCATTTGCCGTCCAAGAGGGTCCGCCACCACTTGGTCGTGCAGGGTTGCGACGACCGTGCGCGTCACTACGCACACTCGCTGCAGCGGCTGACCGAAGGACTTGCGCTTGCGTTCCACCGACGCTCGCGGTGTGCACTCTGACGGCCCCTCGCAGTTCACTGCGCGTCACTCTTGCGCCTTCATTGCCATCGATGTTGACGTTTTCGCCTTCAGCACCGGGAGAAGCGGACTCAATTTCCGCCTCAGCGCGAGGAGGTGGGTGATCGCGAGCCCACTTCGAACGAGCTCCTTCGATCATCAACTCCAGATCCGCGTCGCTGATTTCGCCACGACTGTGGCGTTCCCTCAAAGCAGCGACCTGCGCCTCCAGGTCCATGACTTCCGTAGTGGCGCCCTCGCCAACCATACGGAATCGATGGGGCTGCCGGCTCAAGGTTGACAACTTCGTCAATCGTATTCGAGGCTATCTGAAGTTCGCGTATGCGTCCACGCTCACCGCACCATGCGGAGAATAGGCGATTGTGGGAGAGCCTAGGCGCAGAGTTGCACGATCAGAGAGTGAAGTGCGAGTTTTCCGTGTACGGACTTGCTGGAAACCGGATACTGGTATTTGGAGAACAGGATGCTTGGTATGCAGCAATAGGCTTGGTATCCAGTAACGAAAGGAAAGTAATTGATTAATTGATTGATTACAACAGATACAACATGAACCTTATAGGAAACATAGTGACGTGTGCGAGAACGTTCTACGGGAACGTTGTCCATAAAGAACGTTGTTCAAGGAGAACGTTCTAGTATGCAGTTCCAGGTTGGCACCGCCAGGTGAAAATACCATCAGGTGGAAATACCGTCAGGTGCATTTTCTACCTGCCCAGGAGTAGTTGCGCAGGTGCTCGCAACAGACAGCTGCACATACTCGTTTGTGCAATGTCGTCACTTCCCTCCATTTCGGTTCAGTGTTGAACAGTGCATACCGAAGTGCACTGATTGGAGTGTACTCGGTGAATACTGAAGCTCTGGTATGCGGTATGCGAAACCTCGCTACATCGCATAGGGCTGCTACACGCGAAACCAGGCGCGTGCAGGGCTTCACCTTAACACTCCCCTGCCCTGCTCGTGCCTGGGCAACTGAGGAGTTAGCACACCACACAAAGCGAAAAGGAAATAATAGAGTACAAAAGGGTGACGATTCTGAAACTCGTCCGCTTGTTTCCGCACACGCATACTCACCGCACTAGCCATGTTGAAGGACATGGCACCTATTCCTGCTCAGTGTCACGCTCGTCGTCTGCAAGATCAACTTGCCCAACAGCGATAGAGCAACGCTTGAATGCCGGGGAATGTAACGCCTTTGTGAGATAGTCCGCGGGTTGCTCGCTCGTCGGAATGTAAGTAAGCGCGAGCTTCTTGCGCTTCACCATCTGCTGCAGCCAGATGTAACGCCTCTCCATGTGCTTGAGACTCCCCTTGAGGCCCAGCCCTTCCGCAACAACAATCGCAGATGAGTTGTCCACGTGGATGACGGTTGGCACCCCGGCGTCGAGAAGCCGAAATTCAGCAAGTAGAAAGCGCAAACGGCGCGCCTCCTTGCCAGCCTCCGTTGCAGCTATGTATTCGGATTCCGTTGAGGACAGCATCATGCACTTAATCCTCTGACTTGCCCACGAAACGGCAGCTCCACCAAGCACGAAAACGTATCCGCTGGTACTGCTGCGCGTCTGCCTGTCACCCGCGTCATCGGAATCCGCATACCCCACCAGGCGCAGAGTGTCCGGTCCACCACCAAATTCGAGGGCGAAATCGCGGGTGTTCACCACGTAGTCAATGCAGCGGTCCAGCTCCCTCCAGTGCTGGTCACTGCGAATCGTCAACCCCGAGCCCAACTTGCTACATGCGTACGCAATGTCGGGACGGGTCGTGGTCGCGGCAAACTGGAGTGAACCCACTTTCTGGCGGTACTCCTCCTCTTCACGCGCTTGGTATTCTTCGTCATCAAACGTCAACTCGGTGTACGCGTCGACCGAGATAGGCGTTTTCGGGCGGCGACTTGTCTGCTCTTCGTCCACAAAGCGGCGACGCAGCTTGTCCACGTATGCGCTTTGGTGCAGCCACAGCTTGCGCGCGGACCTGTCCCGTACTATCTCTAGCCCCAAATACTTCTGCACGGGAGTGATTTCCTGCAACTCGAATGCGTTTTGCAGAAGCTCACGGAGGTCCTTCAGCATCTCGAGGCTGCTACTTGCGGCGAGCAAATCGTCAACGTACACCAGCAGCCAGCAACCGACTCCATCAGCACCGAACTTGAAGTAGAGCGCTTCGTCAACCTGACTCTTGCTCCACCCGCCGCCAATGAGTATGCTGTCGAGCGCCGAATACCACAGCAGTGGACTCTATTTCAGTCCGTACAAGCTCTTCTGAAGCATGCACACGCGAGATGTACCGTCGTTGAAATACGCCGGCTGCTCCATGTACAGAACTCGGTCCAATTTGCTCTGCAGGTATGCGTTTTTCATGTCCAGCTGCATGACGTGCAGATCGAGTACCGCGACGATGGAGAGGAAAATGCGTAGCGTAACGTAGCTGCCGACTGGTGAATACGTCTCATCGTAATCCGCGCCATAGATTTGCGTAAATCCGTGCCTTTTCACGGGCGACCGTGTCGTCGGCGTTGTACTTTGTCGTAAGAACCCACCGGTTCTTCATGACATTGACGTCGCGCGGTCGAGGCACCAGCTCCCATGTTCCATTGGCAAGAAGGCTGCGCATCTCCTCCTCCATTGCTGCCTTCACCGCCTTCCCTTTCCAGCTCGCAAGCGCTTCCTTCACGGTCATCGTGGAGATATCCCACCGTCGTTCAGGGTCAGCGTGCATATCGGGATCCAGTTCTGGCAGCGTGGTATCCGCGTTTGCGTCATCAAGAAGCGTGTTAGCGAATACCGGACACACATCGGCCCACTTCTTTAGAGGCACACCGAAGTTGGAACGGGTGGAGTGCCGTGTCGGCAGCTTGACTTCCACCACATCGCTCGAAGAACTGTCTCCAGATGACTCCCCTGCAGCTTCGCCGATGACCTCCACAACGTCGCTCGACGTACTGTCGCTGATCTGCTTCTCTGTCAACTGCTCCCCGGTCATGTGCTCCCCTGCCTGTTTCTGCATACCAGGTGCGCCGTTCTCAGAAGATGCGGCAGGTCGACCGTCGACGATGCCGATGCGCGGCGCAGAAGGTAGCGCGTCATGTCTCCCCTCATCGTCGGCGGCCGACGTGGACAGGGTGTCGGCGGCTGGACGAGAGAGGGTGTCCGCAGCCGGTAGCGGAGAGGAGATGACGGTAGGCGAGGAGGCGCGTCATTTCTCCCGCTTTCCATCACCCCGCCCCATTCTCCCGCTTTCCATCACCCCGCCCCATTCTCCCGCTTTCCATCACCCCGCCCCATTCTCCCGCTTTCCATCACCCCGCCCCATTCTCCCGCTTTCCATCACCTCGCCCCATTCTCCCGCTTTCCATCACCCCGCTCCATTCTCCCGCTTTCCATCACCCCGCCCCATTCTCCCGCTTTCCATCACCCCGCCCCATTCTCCCGCTTTCCATCACCCCGCCCCATTCTACAGCTTTCCATCACCCCGCCCCATTCTCCCTCCTTCCATCACCCCGCCCCATTCTCCCTCCTTCCATCACCCCGGCCCATTCTCCCGCTTTCCATCACCCCGCCCCATTCTCCCGCTTTCCATCACCCCACCCCATTCTCCCGCTTTCCATCACCCCGCCCCATTCTCCCCCTTTCCATCACCCCGCCCCATTCTCCCGCATTCCATCACCCCGCCCCATTCTCCCGCTTTCCATCACCCTGCCCCATTCTCCCGCTTTCCATCACCTCACCCCATTCTCCCGCTTTCCATCACCCCGCCCCATTCTCCCGCTTTCCATCACCCCACCCCATTCTCCCGCTTTCCATCACCCCGCTCCATTCTCCCGCTTTCCATCACCCCGCCCCATTCTTCCGCTTTCCATCACCCCGCCCCATTCTCCCTCCTTCCATCACCCCGCCCCATTCTCCCGCTTTCCATCACCCTGCCCCATTCTCCCGCTTTCCATCACCCCGCCCCATTCTCCCGCTTTCCATCACCCCGCCCCATTCTCCCGCTTTCCATCACCCCGCCCCATTCTCCCGCTTTCCATCACCCCGCCCCATTCTCCCGCTTTCCATCACCCCGCCCCGTTCTCCCGCCTTCCATCACCCCACCCCATTCTCCCGCTTTCCATCACCCCGCCCCATTCTTCCGCTTTCCATCACCCCGCCCCATTCTCCCTCCTTCCATCAACCGGGAGATGCTCCTGACCTTCTAAACTGACGCTAGCTTCAACTCTGTGAAGACGGATGGCACCAGCATTGGAAGCTATGTGTGCCTGTTTGAAGGTGGTGCAGTGAGGTTGCGCAGCAAGAAGCAGAACGAGGTGGGGCTGTCCTTGTGTGAGTCATAATACATGGCACATGTGCACTTACTGCACATGTGCAAATCCTTCCGGGTTTTGGGGGTTAGAAGCGCTCATTCCGAGCGTTTTTCTTCCGCCGGGTCACATGGCTGCGCTTGTCTTGTCCTATTACCAAGCCAGCAAGGTCGTGGGAGGGTTGCCAGCATCATCGGTCATCTGCGCTCGTGAATGAAGAGCGCCCGCTGCACTTCCTGCTCATGTGCGGATCCTTCCGCATTTTGGGTCTAGAAGCGCTCGTTCCGAGCGTTTTTCTTCCGCCGGGTCACATGGCTGCGCTTGTCTTGTCCTAGACAAGCACTAGAACCAAGCCGAAAAGGCTCTAGTATGTGTATTTGAACATGGGCCACTTGAATATGCAATAAATTTTACGTTGCTGAATGCTTTTCCCTACGCCTAAAGGGATGCACGCGCTTTCTAGGCACTTGGCGGCAAAAAAAACCGAAATCGTAGGCGCCGAACCTTTCTTCACGCAAGAACCAAGCCGAAAAGGCTCTAGTATGTGTATTTGAACATGGGCCACTCGAATATGCAATGAAATTCATGTTGTTGAATGCTTTTCCCTACGCCTATAGGGATTCACATCGGAAAAAGCGGCCGAAATCGTAGTCGCCGAACTTTTCTTCGCGCAAGAACCAAGCCGAAAAGGTTTTAGTATGTGTATTTGAACATGAGCCACTGGACTATGCAATAAAATTCAGGTTGTTGAATGCTTCTCCCTACACTTATAGGGATTCACGCGCTTTCTAGGCACTTGGCTGCAAAAACGGCCAAAATTGTAGGCGCCGAACTTTTCTTCGCGCAAGAACCAAGCCGAAAAGGCTCTAATAGGTGTATTTGAACATGGACCACTCGAATATGCAATAAAATTCAGGTTGTTGAATGCTTTTCTTACGCCTATAGGGATTCACGCGCTTTCTAGGCACTTGGCGGCAAAAACGGCCGAAATCGTAGGCGCCGAACTTTTCTTCGCGCAAGAATCAAGCCAAAAAGGCTCTAGTATGTGTATTTGAACATGGGCCACTCGAATATGCAATAAAGTTCAGGTTGTTGAATGCTTTTCCCTATGCCAATAGGGATTCACGCGCTTTCTTGGAACTTGGCGGCAAAAACGGCCGAAATCGTAGGCGCCGAACTTAAGTTTGGAGCAAGAACCAAGCTGAAAAGGCTCTAGTATGTGTATTTGAACATGGGCCACTCGAATATGCAATACAATTCAGGTTTTTGAATGATTTTCCCTACGCCTATAGGGATTCACGCGCTTTCTAGGCACTTGGCGGCAAAAACGGCCGAAATCGTCGGCGCCGAACTTTTCTTCGCGCAAGAATCAAGCCGAAAAGGCTCTAGTATGTGTATTTGAACATGGGCCACTCGAATAAGCAATAAAATTCAGGTTGTTGAATGCTTTTCCATACGCCTATAAGGATTCACGCGCTTTCTAGGCACTTGGCGGCAAAAACGGCCGAAAACGTATGCGCCGAACTTTTCTTCGCGCAAGAACCAAGCCGAAAACGCTCTAGTATGTGTATTTGAAGATGGGCCACTCGAATATGCAATAAAATCCAGGTTGTTGAATGCCTTTCCCTACGCCTATAGGGATTCACGCGCTTTCTAGGCACTTGGCGGCAAAAACGGCCGAAATCGTAGTCGCCGAACTTTTCTTCGCGCAAGAACCAAGCCGAAAAGGCTCTAGTATGTGCATTTGAACATGGGCCACTCGAATATGCAATGAAGTTCAGGTTGTTGAATGCTTCCCTACGCCTTTAGGGATTCACGCGCTTTCTTGGCACTTGGCGGCAAAAACGGCCGAAATCGTAGGCGCCGAACTTAAGTTTGGTGCAAGAACCAAGCTGAAAAGGCTCTAGTATGTGTATTTGAACATGGGCCACTCGAATATGCAATAAAATTCAGGTTGTTGAATGATTTTCCCTACACCTATAGGGATTCACGCGCTTTCTAGGCACTTGGCGGCAAAAACGGCCGAAATCGTAGGCGCTGAACTTTTCTTCGCACAAGAATCAAGCCGAAAAGGCTCTATTATGTGTATTTGAACATGGGCCACTCGAATAAGCAATAAAATTCAGGTTGTTGAATGCTTTTCCCTACGCCTATAGGGATTCACGCGCTTTCTAGGCACTTGGCGGCAAAAACGGCCAAAATCGTAGGCGCCGAACTTTTCTTCTCGTAAGAATCAAGCCGAAAAGGCTCTAGTATGTGTATTTGAACATGGGCCACTCGAATATGCAATAAAATTCAGGTTGTTGAATGCTTTCCCTACGCCTATAGGGATTCACGCGCTTTCTAGGCACTTGGCGGCAAAAACGGCCGAAATCGTAGGCGCCGAACTTAAGTTTGGAGCAAGAACCAAGCTGAAAAGGCTCTAGTATGTGTATTTGAACATGGGCCACTCAAATATGCAATAAAATTCAGGTTTTTGAATGCTTTTCCCTACGCCTATAGGGATTCACGCGCTTTCTAGGCACTTGGCGGCAAAAACGGCCGAAATCGTATGCGCCGAACTTTTCTTCGCGCAAGAACCAAGCCGAAAAGGCTCTAGTATGTGTATTTGAACATGGGCCACTCGGATATGCAATACAATTCAGGTTGTTGAATGCTTTTCCCTGCCCCTATAGGGATTCACGCGCTTTCTAGGCACTTTTCCCTACGCCTAAAGGGATCCATGCGCCTTCTAAGCATTTGTCGGAAAAAAACGGCCGAGATCGTGGGCGCCGAACTTTTCCTTGCGCAAGAACCAAGCCAAAAAGGCTCTAATAGGTGTATTTGAACATGAGCCACAAGAATATGCAATAACATTCAGGTTGTTGAGTGCTTTTCCCTACGCCTATAGGGATTCATGCACCTTCTAAGCATATGTCGGCAAAAACGACCGCAATCGTGGACGCCGAACTTTTCCTTGCGTAAGATCCAGGCCGAAAGAGCTCTTATAGGTGTATTTGAACATGGGTCATTCGAATATGCAGTAACATTCAGGTTGTTGAGTGCTTTTCCCTGCGCCTATAGAGATTCATGCGCCTTCTAAGCATTTGTCGGCAAATTCGACCGAAATCATGGGCTGCGAACTTTTCCTTGGTCAAGAAAAAAGCCAAAGAGGCTCTAATATGTGTATTTGAACATGGGTCACTCGAATATGCAGTGACATTCAGGTTGTTGAATGCTTTTCTCTACGCGTATAGGATTCATGCGCATACTAAACATTTGTCGGCAAAAACAGCAGAATCATAGGCGCCAAACTTTTCCTTGCGCAAGAACCAAGCCGTAAAGGATCTAGTAGGTGTACTTGAACATGAGCTACTCAAATTTGCAATAACATTCAGGTTGTAGAATGCTTTTGCCTACGCCTATAGGGATTTATGCACCTTTTAAGCAATTGTCGGCAAAAACAGCCGAAATCATAGGTGCCGAACTTTTCCTTGCGCGACAACCAATCCGTAAAGGCTTTAGTAGGTGTATTTGAACATGGGCCACTCAAAAATGCAGTAGAATTCAGGTTGTTGAATGCTTTTCCCTATGACTATAGGGATTCATGCACCTTCTAAGCATTTGTCGGCAAAAACGGCCGAAATCGTGAGCGCCGAACTTTTCCTTGCGTCAGAACCAAGCCAAAAAGGCTCTAATATGTGTATTTCAACATGGGCCACTCGAACACGCAGTAACTTTCAGGTTTTCAAATGCTTCCTACGCCTACAGAGATTCATGCGCCTTCTGAGCATTTGTCGGCGAAGTCGACCAAAATCGTGGCCGCCGAACTTTTCCTTGCGCGAGAACCAAGCCAAAAAGGCTCTAATAGGTGTATTTGAACATGAGCCACAAGAATATGCAATAACATTCAGGTTGTTGAGTGCTTTTCCCTACGCCTATATGAATTCATGCGCCTTCTAAGCATCTGTCGGCAAAAACGGCCAAAATCTTGGGCGCCGAACTTTTCCTTGCGCAAGAACCAAGCCAAAAAGGCTCTAATTGGTGTATTTGAACATGGGTCACTCGAATATGCAGTAACGTTCAGATTGTTGAATGCTTTTCCCTACGCCTATAGAATTCATGCGCCTTCTGAGCATCTGTCGGCAAAAATGGCCGAACTCTGGGGCGCCGAACTTTTCCTTGCAAAAGAACCAAGTCGAAAAGGCTCTAATAGGTGTATTTGAGCATTGGACACTCGAATTTGCAGTAGCATTCAGGGTGTTGAGTGCTCTTCTCTACGCCTATAGGATTTTTGCGGATACTAAGCATCTGTCTGCAAAAACAGCAAAATCATAGGCGCCAAACTTTTCCTTGCGCAAGAACCAAGCCGTAAAGGCTTTAGTAGGTGTACCTAAACATGAGCCACTCGAATATGCAATAACATTCAGGTTGTGGAATGCTTTTGCCTACGCCTAGGGATTCATGCGCCTTCTAAGCAATTGTCGCCAAAAACAGCCGAATCATAGGCGCCGAACTATTCCTTGCGCAACAACCAAGCCGGTTCTAGTAGGTGTACTCAAATATGGGCCACTCGAATATGCAATAACATTCAGGTTGTAGAATGCCTTTGCCTACGCATATAAGGATTCATGCGCCTTCTAAGCATTTGTCGGCAAAAACGACCGAAATCGGAGGCGCCGAACTATTCCTTGCGCAAGAACCAAGCCAAAAAGGCTCTAGTAGGTGCGATTGAACATGGGCCTCTCGAATATGCAATAACATTCAGGTTGTAGAATGCTTTTGCCCACGCCTATTATGATTCATGCGCCTTTTAAGCATTTGTCGGGAAACCCTACCGGAATCGTGGGCGCTGAACATTTCCTTGCGCAAGAACCAAGCCAAAAAGGCTCTAATAGGTGTACTTGAACA